GTGGAGAGCGAGCCGCGGGCGGAGGCTCTGCCCACTGGGCTTCCTCCCGGGGGCGCCCGGAGGGAACTGTCAGGTGTCAGCGACCCTCCTCTTCTGGCTCTGGGGTCATTCTGGTTCTTTTTGTTGTTTTTCGTATATTTCTATTTATTTCAGGGAGGGGGAGTGACGGGAGAGAATCATGGACCAGCGGCCTCCTGCACGCCCCCCACTGGGATCCAGCCCGCACCCCGGGCTGCGCCCTGACGGGAATCGAACCCTGACCTCCTGGTGCCAGGCCGATGCGCAGCCCCGGAGCCTTCAGCCGGGCTGTTTCTGGGTCTCAGCTGCCTCAGTCCCACCTGGAGCACACGGCCCCGGGACTGGCAGGTCACCAAGGTGGGTGCACCGCCGGCCCCGGCTGCACCCATGGCGGGAGCGCGCGTCTGCCTGTGGCCGGGCCCCGCGGCCGAGCACAGCCTGTGGCACCCGCCTCGGGGCGCGGACTGACGGGAGCTCAGTCACCGACCGACGGAACCTCCTGCCTCAGACCAGGTGGGAGGGGCGGCCTGCGAGCACAGGTGAGGGGGAGAGAGAGAGAGAGGAGAGAGAGGAGAGAGAGGAGAGAGAGAGGAGAGAGAGGAGAGAGGAGAGAGAGAGAGGAGAGAAGAGAGAGAGAGAGAGGAGAGAGAGAGAGAGGAGAAAAGAGAGATAGAAGGTAGAGATCTCCGTTCGTCTCTATCTATGGAGATCTCGTATATGAGAGAGTCGTAGATGCGAGAGCTCATCTGTAGCTATCTCTATACTCATGCTCTCGCTCGCTATTCACGACTCGATAGTCTCGCTCTGCTCTCGCTCTGCTCTCATCTCTTCCTCTCGCTCTACTCTCTCCTCTCTCTTCTCTCTCTCTCTCTTCTTCTCGTCTCTCTCTCTCTCTCTTCGCTCCACTCTCTTTCTCCTCATCTCTCTTCTTCTCTCTCGCTCTCTCGCTCTCTCTCGTCTCTCTCTTGCCTCTCTCTCTCTCTTTGCTCGCTTCTCTCTCTCTCGCTCACTGCTCTCTCTCTCACTCTCGTCTTTCTCTCTCTCTCTCTCCTCTTTCTCCTCCCTCACTCTCTTCCTCTCTTCTCCGCTTTGCTCCTCCTGTCACCCCCAACCCCCACTTTTACAGCCCAACCCTGCCGCGGCCAGGGGATTGAGCCTAAACACGGGACCGCAGCCCGGCGGGGGCTCAGGGTGGGCATCCACCTAGCGACCAGGAGGTGCCGGCTCAATCCCGTCCGGGACAGGCCGGGCTGCGGGCTCCTGCCCCAGGGTGGCGCCTGCAGGAGGCAGCCGGTCCGTGTTCTCTCATCACGGACGTGTCTCTCCCTCTCCCTTCCTCTCTGACATCAATAACATCTATTTCCAGAGAACCAGGCAGACCCTGACCCCGATGGAGCGGTCAGGACTGGGGCTCACTGTAGAGGGCGCTCACCAACGGTCCAGCTGCGGGCGGAGGTGCGGGCACCAGGGAGCCGCAGATGCATCAGCACGGAGGCAGTGGTCACGCACCCGTTCCCCCACCCCCAGGACTCGGTGAACTCTGCTCGGACTGCAGCTCCCGGGAGTGAGTCAAGGCTGGGGCGGGCCCGGCTGGGAGCCCAGTGACTGCGGCTCTGAGGTCCCTCCAGCCGTGCGCTCACCCCGCCCCCCTCGGGCAGGGCGGGCCTTCTCCCTGCCAGGGGCCACGGGAGGGTTATAACATCGCCACGGCCTGGACACCGTCACCCGCTTAACCATCAGCCTGGCCTACCGCCCCACAGCTCACTAACGCCCCCTGGGCCTGGGCAGGGCCAGACCGAGTGACCTGGGGGCCTCACGTGCCCCACCCCTGCTCAGGGCAATCCCCGCCACGGCCCTTGGACTGGTCACCCACCCGTCCCGCCGTCAGAAAGAAAAACACGCACCATCCGGGGGCTAACAGGCACGGTGTCCGCTCCGGGAAAATCGGAGCCAGGCCGGGCGGTGTGCGGATGGGAGAAGCGGCCGCCCCGCACAGAGAGACCGGCACGGGGCAGGCAGGCGGAGGCGGGGGCTGTCGCTGAGGCTTAAAGGAAGGACAAGGCGGCCCTCGGCCCTCCGGTGACTCTGACCCCCGCCCTCCCCCTCAGCTCCGGGGGGTGGCCCGGCCGGTGGGGGAAGGCTGGCCAGCACCAGAGGCAAGCCCAGTCCAGAACGGAGGAGGGGTCTGGTGATGACACGCGCTCAGAATTGCCCTGGAGACCGGCCGAGGGGGCCCGGGGGGGCCTGAGACCCACTCCCTGGACCCCAGGGGCCGGCGCAGCCTGGCACCTCGCAGCACCCCCAACGCCGGCCGGGCAGCTTCAGGCTGGATTCCCAGGGGAGCCAGGTGGGTGCTCCCGGCTCCCTCTCCCACCCCCGTCCGCACAGACCCCCCTCGGCACAGACAGACCTCCATGTAAGGCCCTGATCCACCGCCCTCTGACGGGACGCGATGCACAAGCGCCGCTCAGCGGCACCGCCGCGCTGACACACGGACACGGAGAGACGGCACGGACAGCCGGCGGGCGCTCCCTCTGCCACGGAAGGACCGTTTCTAAGCGAAGGGAAATGTCTTATGGGATCATCTTACGAACTACGGCTCCTCTTCACAAATCCTGTTTGGAGACACACGACGAACACGCCAGCGGGGCCTGCATGGGCAGAATGAGGCCTGCTGCTCCGTGCCTCAGTTTCCCCATCTGTCAGACGACCTTGAGAATGCCTCTCACGATTATTGTGAGAAACTGGTAATTCAGGTAACAAGGTAGAAAGTTACAAAAAGCATATGCCTAGCGCCCGAAATAGAACTGAGAATAAAAGTAAGCTATTATTTTTAATGATGGCTTTTAAAAATATATATTTTATTGATTTTTTACAGAGAGGAAGGGAGAGGGATAGAGAGCTAGAAACGTCAATGAGAAAGAAGCATCGACCAGCTGCCTCTTGCACACCCCCTACTGGGGATGTGCCTGCAACCAAGGTACTGTACATGGCCTTGACCGGAATCGAACCTGGGACCTTCTAGTCGGCAGGCTGACACTCTATCCATTGAGCCAAACCGGTCTCGGCTAATGATGGTTTTAAAGACTTTATAAATGATCATTGCTATCTTAAAACAATGTAAAGGTTATTTTAAAGGGCTATTTACAACATACCAGTTTATACATACACTGATTGCCAGATTATTATGATCTCTGAACGCATAATCATCTGGCCACTCGGTGTCTATTCTATATAATAAAAGGCTAATATGCAAATTGTCTCCCTCAACCAGGAGTTCAACCAGCAGGCAGGCCGGCCAACCCACGTCCCTTCTCCCAGGCCAGGCTGGCTGGACCCCACCCATGCACAAAATCATGGACCGGGCTTCTAAAACACACACACACACACACACACACACACACACACACACTGAGTGGCCAGATTATTATGGGTTCAGAGTTCATCATAATCTGGCCACTCCGTGCATATTGCTCATACGGCCATTCTTGCTTATTTAAAAATTTTTAAAATTTTATTGTTGAAGGTATCACGCCCTTCCCTTCACCACCCCCCATGGGCCCCTTCTAGCCGCCCCACCAGCCTCTCTCCTTTCCCAATTCCTCGTCTCCCCGAGGTTCTGAGCTCGGGAGGTCCCGGCCTGAGGTACGCTGCGCCGTACACGGCTCTGACCGTGGGCTCCAATCCCCACGTCCCACCAGCTGTGGATGGAAAACGTTCTTTCCAGCCCACGGTGGGCGTCTGCGGACGTGGAGGGCGACTGCCTGTGTGGACACACGCCGCGCGCGCACACACACACACACACACACACACAGGCGTTGGTGCCCGTGGGAGGGCGTGTCCAGAACCAACCCCCCACGGACACTGAGGATGACTGCACCCAGCAACTTCAACTCTGCAAGCGTCACCTTCACCGCCGAGAAAAGATAACATGCATTACCGGGTACACGTGTGCGTCCACAAGCTTCTGATATATTCACCACCGAAAACAATAGCCAGTAAATACATTTTTCCTGCTTGTGCTTTATTCCCTAATCTGTTTAAGTCTTACAAGTAGTATTTTTTTAAATGTATTTTTACCGACTTCAGAGAGGAAGGGAGAGGGAGAGGGGGATAGAAACATCCATGATGGGAGAGAATCATGGATCGGCTGCCTCCTGCACGCTCCACGCTGGGGATCAAGCCCGCAGCCCGGGCCTGTGCCCTGACCGGGCACTGAACCCTGACTCTGGGTTCACAGGTCGATGCGAGCCCGAGCCAGGCCCGCCGGGCACTTGTCTGCTTTGAGGGCACTCTGGTTAGCGCGTGTCTGTCCGTGAGAAATGAGGACGTCGCTGTGCTCCAGGCTGGGCCGTCAGGGACAGCACACAGTAGGCCTCCAATAACACTGCTGGGGGAGTGGACACCGGAGAGACCTGGGGCCGTCCTGGGTTCGCCGTTGTTCCTAGCGGTGCCTCCGGGGCAGGCGCCTCCCTCTCTCCAGCCGGCAGGACCGTCCGGGGACTAGACGGGCTGTGCACACGCAGGACGTACAGGAGCGTGTGACACACAGTGTGGGGGCCCCCAGCAGGCACCCCGATATCCCCCATGGCACGCTGCTTCCTTTGAATTCCTGTGCGGAGGGCACCTGCCCGGCCCAGCCAGCCTGCAGTCAGAGCTGACGGCCTCTTTGCTAACTGACCCCTCCGCGTACACGCCTCTCCGAGGGCACCCAGAGGCCTGGCCCTGGTCCCTTCCCACTCTCTCCGTCCTGCCCACGTCTCCCGCCCACCGCTTACCTGGCTGCTAGGTTTTCAGAGCGGCTGATTCCTCCCATTTTTCCGAGCCGCATGTCCTATGGTCTGAGCATCCTACACGGCCATTCTCTCGTGTGCACACAGTTAAGCTGGTTTTCCTCCTGTTAATCCCCGGCTGGTGCTAGTTTTGTGTTTTTTTTTTTTTGTGTGTGTGTGTGTGTGTGTGTGTGTGTGTGTTTTTACAAACATGTATGGAGCCATCGCACAGAAAATCTGATAACTATACAGACTCTGTTGGCAGGAACCATGTTTTGATGTGTGTGACTACCTATGGTTGCACTTTTTTTCCTTTTTAAAAAAATATATTTTATTGATTTTTTTTACAGAGAGAAAGGGAGAGGGACAGAGAGTTAGAAACGTCGATGAGAAAGAAACATCAACCAGCAGCCTCTTGCACACCCCCCACTGGGGATGTGCCCGCCACCAAGGTACATGCCCTTGACCGGAACCGAACCCGGGACTTCAGTCCGCAGGCCGACGCTCTATCCACTCAGCCAACCCAGTTTTGGCCTTGTGCTAGTCTTATTACTTTATTACCAGCCCAGCCGGTGAGAACTACAGAAAGGCAAGAGGGGGTGCGTCTCTCCCCTCCCCATCAGCACGTGCCAGCCGCCGGCACGCCAGGGGGGGCGTGCTTCAGGATGAGACTACACGGGTAGCCCAAGTCCACGCAGCAGGTGGAAGGCCAGTCACCTGACTTCGGTCACACTTCACAACGCACACACCACCGGCTGGCCTCAGCTCTGGACGGGGGAGACTCAATGTGCAGGACCCGATGATCTCTCTGCTGAGCAGAGAGAGTGACCAGAACGGCACAATCTCTCTCGCGTCAGCCCCTAACAGAGCACCTCTGTCTGAGGCAAGGCATTGCCGGAAAGTCCCACGCCCTTTACTGCATCTGGGTAAGATCTTCTCCGGCTGTCAAGTGGCCACAGCATGCTTTAAACACCATTTATTGAAAAAACAAATCCCTGCTCTGACCAGTGTGGCTCAGTGGATAGAGCGTCGGCCTGGGGACTGAAAGGTCCCGGGTTCGATTCCGGTGAAGGGCATGTACCTTGGTTGCGGGCGCATCCCCGGTGGGGAGTGTGTAGGAGGCAGCTGATGGATGTTTCTCTCTCATCGATGTTTCTAACTCTCTATCTCTCCCTCTTCCTCTCTGTAAAAAAACCAATAAAACGTTTTTTGTTTTTTTTTAAAAAGAAAGGAATCCCTGTCATTTATAATCTGCTCATATGTATTGCTTTTAATGATCAACGCTTAAAAGATCCTAGTTTATATTCCCTATTATTAAGATATTTGCTTATTCAGAGAAACTTAGAAATTTGGGGATTTACTGGTATAATTCTAATGAAAATGATAACTAGAGAGACAAATTCCATTGTTGATAATCAGGAAAAAAAAATCACATTGTATATCTTTTAATGACATGGGTACTTTTATTGAACACTGAAGACATTAACGCTTATGTCATTTCAATCTTTTCTGTTTGAAATCTACTCGTTAGCTCAAAATTAGCCCTTTCAACGTTTTATATGGAGAATAAATGATCCTCCTCACGATAATGCCGAGGAGCGAGTAAGAGCTTGAGGACACAATTTTATTTTATATTTAGTGAATGGCACACTGGCCCCAAGAAGGGGCTTAGAATTTAATATGCATTTTCCTCTAAACTCCAGTTTTCATTATTTGCCTTTTGATCCTCATCATTTTAGTCTTCCCACTATGTCTTTACCTATTCCCATTCTTTGCCTGTTTATAACAACGCTGTGAACTTGGGGACCCCCTGTCCTAGCGTCAGAGAGGAAACGGAGGGTCGGCTGTAAACTGTTAGAATCCCTCTCCCCGTCCATAACATTTAACCGACAGACGCTGTTTGTGAAAAGCCCTCGCCGTGGGCTTTTACTGACCACGGGGGGAGGGTGCCCGCGTCCCACCTGCTGACAGGCTGAGCCACCTGCTGGCCCCAAGGCCTTGGGAGAGGGCTCACAGGGGCTCTGCTCCCCCCGCCCCCGTCCCCCGAGGCTGCGGAGCCTCAGCTGCCCACCCCGGCCCTCCTTCCCGCCGCCCGCCCTGGGTCCCTTTGGCTCCTGTGTCACTGGTGCTCCCTCCCGGCCCGCCACGTCCCTCCCCAGGGCCAGGGGCGCCAGGAGGACAGGTGCTGGGCAGGGCGGCCGAGCAGCCGGGGGGCCTCCGGGAGACGGTCACTGTGTGTGTGTGTGTGTGTGTGGGGGGGGGCCTCTCCCCACACAGCACCTCCATGTAGTCAACTCACGGTGGAATATAATGAACAACATAAACTGATGAACAAAGACAGATCCAGAGACAGAGAAACATCACTCAGACTGTCAAACCTAAGGGACGGTAGGGGAGGGCGGGGGTAAGGGGGAGAGATCAACCAAAGGACTTGTGTGCATGCAGATGAGCCTGGCCAGTGGACACAGACCACGGGGGCGGGCCATGAGTGGGAGGTGGGGGGTAATGGGGGAATAGGACTCATATATAATACCTTAATCAATAAAGAAGTTAAAAATAATAATACACACACACACACACACACACACACACACAAAACCCATTCTGTGCTAAGACAATGATGTGATAGAAAAGATTTTACACACTTTTTTCAAATCGCAGCTCATGAGACTCGGAGGACCGCAGGCCCTGGCCTGGCCTCTACCTCCACCTGAGGCCGCTGGGCCAGGCCCTCGGGGCCCAGGTCTGGACGGCGATGAGACCGGCTTCTCAGAGCGGCCGTTCCAGTCCCAGGCCCAGCCAGGCCCGGACCCACACGGCCGGACGGAACGGGTCCGACAGCAGAAACCCTGGGCCCTCCAACAGCCCACTTCCGTGAGGGCTGTTTCCAAAAGACCTTAAAAAGACTCCTCTGGGACGTCCTTACTCACACGTTCTTTTCTCTGGCTCGCTGCATTGTATGTAACACACAAAATGTGTTCATCGACGGCCTATGTCATCAGCAAGGCTTCCAGTCAACAGCTGGCCATTGGCAGCTAAGTTTTCTGGAGAGTCGAAAGTCACTCACGATTTTTTTATTGTGGAGGGGATATGAGGGGGGAGGGAGGTGCCCATAACCCCTGCATTGTTCAAGGGTCAGTTCTATTCTATTCTGTTCTCTGCTTTTTAATTTTATTCTGTGTGGGCTATTTTTTAAGATTAAATATAGTTAGAGATGGAAACACCCATGACAGGAGAGAATCACGGACCGGCTGCCTCCTGCACGCCCCACACTGGGGATCAAGCCCACCACCTGGGCCTGTGCCCTGACCGAGAACCCAACGCTGACCTCCTGGTTCCCAGATGGACCCTCAACCCCCAGCCCACACCGGCTGGGCCTTCCCTGTGTCTTAACCAGCTTCCTCTTCCTCACGAGGCACTAGGAACGCAGGGAAGGCAGGGAGGGGTCTGTGGTGTCCCCTTTTCCCGGCGGCATGCTTCCATGGAGCAGGTGACAAGGTCCCTGGGATCCACAGACCCTGGATTCCGGAGCAGATGGCCTGGTGTGGCGGCCTGCCGGGTGCCAGGCCTGCGGGTGAGCCGCACCTGCTCACCTGGGCCGCCTCCTCCGTGAAGAGGAAGGAGCCGCCGGATCTCCCTGAGGGCTGGTGACCGAGGCCGCTGCTCGTCCGGAGGCTCTGTGCCCACAATCTCCTGGGAATCTTGTTGGGCTGGATCGGGGGACAGACCGGCGGGATTCCACACCATCGATAAGCTCCGGAAGGCCGCGGAGGCCGCGGCACAAGGTTATCTAACCCGGCGGTCGGCAAACCCATCAGTCCACAGAGCCAGACACCAACAGGACAACGATGGACATGTCTTCCGAGAGCCACGTTTGCTAAACTTAAACTTCTTCTAACGCCGCTTCTTCAAAACGGACTCGCCCAGGCCGTGGTGTTTTGTGGAAGAGCCACAGTCAAGGGGCCCAGGAGCCGCGTGTGGCTCGAGAGCCGTGGTTTGCGGACCACGGATCTGACCCTCCAGCTCAGAGTTAGAGGCTATTAGTAAGGATGACCCTCTACCTGCCCCATCGCCGCAGAAGGGCGAGAAGGTGAGACGGTGACCTCAGAACGGCCGCAGGGATCCGCTTATCTCCACGGTCCCGGCTGCGGGCTGAGAGGGAGGGTGTGGCTGAAACGGGGGAGGCGGCGGCCCTGAGTCACCGGACAGGAGACGAGGAGCGAACACTGAACCCGCAGGAATCGGTGTTGACAATCTGCCCAACTGGTCTTGACATTCTAATTGGCACGTGAATTACTCACAAGCAACATCCATCTCTGTCACAGTCAGCATTCTTCCTGAATTCCTTTCCTTTTTCCCACAAGCGCTACCTGATTCTCTCTTAGACCTGTCCGCCTTTCCGCGAGCACACGCCCGCCTCCGTCCTCACCCAGACAGTCCTCACCCGGCCAGTCCTCACCCGCCATCCTCACCATCCTCACCCGCCATCCTCACCATCCTCACCATCCTCACCAGGCCATCCTCATCATCCTCACCATCCTCACCCGCCATCCTCACCATCCTCACCGGCCGTCCTCACCATCCTCACCATCCTCACCAGGCCATCCTCATCCTCCTCACCATCCTCACCAGGCCATCCTCATCATCCTCACCATCCTCACCCGCCATCCTCACCATCCTCACCCGCCATCCTCACCATCCTCACCCACCATCCTCACCATCCTCACCCGCCATCCTCACCATCCTCACCCGGCCATCCTCACCATCCTCACCAGGCCATCCTCACCATCCTCACCAGGCCATCCTCACCATCCTCACCATCCTCACCAGGCCATCCTCACCATCCTCACCGGCCCCCCCCCACCATCCTCACCCGCCCATCCTCACCCCTCCCTCACCATCCTCATCCAGGCCATCCTCATCTCCTCACCATCCTCACCCGGCCATCCTCACCATCCTCACCATCCTCACCCGCCATCCTCACCATCCTCACCTGCCATCCTCACCATCCTCTCCCGGCCATCCTCACCCGGCCAGTCCTCACCCGCCATCCTCACCATCCTCACCCGGCCATCCTCACCATCCTCACCATCCTCACCCGGCCATCCTCACCATCCTCACCATCCTCACCCGGCCATCCTCACCATCCTCACCATCCTCACCCGGCCATCCTCACCATCCTCACCATCCTCACCCGGCCATCCTCACCATCCTCACCATCCTCACCATCCTCACCCGCCATCCTCACCATCCTCACCCGGCCATCCTCACCATCCTCACCCGCCATCCTCACCATCCTCACCCGCCATCCTCACCATCCTCACCATCCTCACCCGGCCCTCCTCCCC